TAGAATACACTTCTAAGGAGAAAAGGTCAGTTAATTGCAGTATTTTCTTTTCACTGAAAGCACTGAAAGTATTTTCTGATCCATTGCCATTTCTTACTTTTGGAACATTTACTGTACTTAGGCAGCCACATAACTACGTTGATCTGCTTTCCTCCTCTCCTTCAGATGGAAAGAAAGTATATTCCTTAAAAATTGATGCCCCCTGCAGCCAACCTTTTACCACATTTCAAGAATTAGACTGGTAGCATTGCTGCCTGCATAAAAAGTAATGTAGCGGGGCACGGGGAAGCCATTAGTTGTTCTGGGCTGGGGAAAAAACAGTGCTTGCAGCATGAAAGGATATTTTCTCATTTTATCCCTGAGTTGGGATAAAGCAGCAGGCAACGCCCTCTCCTGCTACAAGCAGCATGTGCAGAGCCTCCGCCAAGGCCCTTCCTTCTCCCTTTAAATTCAGCACACGCAGTGGGAAAGGAAGTTGCCTGTTGTTGACTCAAGTGCGTTCTCTGCTGACATCATTCTCCTCTTCTTCATTTCCTTCCCTCAATTTACCTATTCCTGTTAAAAGAACATCTGCTTCAACATTCCACAAAGTTGGTATTCCATAAATAACTCCTGCCCCAAAGAAAACAGGCTGGTTGATGAAGTCTCCAGTCCCTCTGGCAGCCATAGCAAAACTGCTCATGGAGGTACAGTACCCCACAACCAGACAAAAGGATGTGGTCCTACAGCAGGCCAAATGGAGCCCTGCAGTCCACCCACTTCTGAAGGCTCCTCCTTCACACACACTAGAAAGTTCCCTTTTCTCATTTTCATGCTGGGTCACGACTTCAACCTGCCTGAATAGCAGGCTGACACAGAGATAGATGCCCAGATGTGAGGACGTGTCCTTAAAATATGGTAATGGCTACCTGGAGCTGGAACAATGAGGCTGCATGGATGAGTCCTTATAAGCCAGCAACGCTGTGGGCCAAAGTCAATTCCAAAGTTCAGCTATATGCTATAAAAACATATTTCTTTTATCTCTCACTTCTAGCAATTATAATGATTTCAAGAGAAACATAGAGACAAACTGCAGATGAGAAACAACAATAGGTAATGAAGTCCCCTCTCCCTTTCCAGTTTTGAAATTATAACACAAATTGAGCCACACAAGAATGGGCTGCAGTTTTCAAAAAGCCTTAATTATACATGTCACCCAAATAGGGCAAGGCCTATCAGCCCTAATTACACAACTTAGAACTTCAAGGGTACATGCTACTTACAAGCAACCTCACTTCTGCAACTTTATTCTCTTTGCAAATGAGCACTGTTCCTTTCATCTCCTGGGTCTCCACATAAAGCAGCAATATGAGTGAGGGGAACAGATACCAAATCCAGAGTTTATGGAAGAAGGGCTGTATCAGCGTATCAGAGGAGCTGGTCTAGAAAACTAGTTACAAACTCTTTCTTATTCCTTCTTCACATCTAGAAAGAATCATTAGCTAGCTCCATAACAGGTTCCCAGAATCTTTCAAACTACTTAGTAATCTCCATATCCTATAGTATTCCTACCAACACTCACACCAGGAAGAAGCATTTATTTATATCCTTTTTGGGGGATGAGAAATGCCGGTGTTTCATTACAAAAATGAAATTATGTTGTGTAGGCTTGATGATTAGAAATAATATGTGTTAACAGAAATAATGAAATTTATGTAGTAAATTTAGAGCAAGAGTTTGATGTATATGTTACTTATATCTGTTGTGGGGTGGGTAGGACGTCAATTCTTTGTTGTTTTTCTTTTTCTTTTCTACATTTCTGACTTTTACCGCTTTTTCTTTTTTCAATTTTTTCTTTTTTTTCCCTCATTTTTTATCCTTAATATTAATTTTGGTTAGTTTTTAATTGTTCTTTTAAAAAAATTAATAAAGTTCTTATAAAAAAAGAAATGCTGGTGTGGAGAAAGAAAGCATACAGGAAGTGGCACCACATGAGACTTGTAGAAATCACCCTAAAATTCTCATTTTAAAAAAGCAAATAGTGCAAAGTTACCCGAAGTGCCGTTGCTGCTGGCGCTTTGCATCCTCTCCTAGCCTATTTAATGATGGGGAACGGCTTCGAGAGGATGAAGTGTAACTTCCAACAGTTTTCACCGTTCCATTAGGATTATTCTGCATCTGTTGGAATAGGTGAGGCGAAAGGCTACGGTGTGAAGAAGCTAAAGAGGAGGCTGACCAGTCAGGAAGATTGATGTTCAAATTGTTATCACTATTAGACCGAAGCAAGAGGCGCGGTGTGGCCAAGATGCTATGGGGTTTCCGTCTTCTGTTTGAGTAGGTGGGAGCCTCTCTGAATGGCACTGGAATAAACGAGAGAGAAATATTTATCTTTTAAGAACATTCATCACAGCCTGCAAACATTTCAGCAGTACGTAGTATCCTTTTGATTTTTCATATACAGTATTAAAAGTTGATTGCCTATCCAGGTGAAAACATTAGAATTATATTTAAAGCACAACTAAAATTAAAAATCATTTCCACAGGAAAACTTAAAAAAAAAAAGAACCAGATTTAATACAATTAGTATAAGCTTGTACTTATTAATATAAAGTGGGATAATAGTGTATCTTTATTCAAGAATCTAGAATTGGAAGTTAAGACTTAGCAACAAAGATAAAATATCTGACCAATGAACAATGAGCAGTATGAACAGTTTCGTTAAAAAAAAGAGAGAAGTAGATGTTATAGTATGGCAAGAGTAGAGAGTTCCACATGCTGCAAAGTAACCTTTTTATAACAGAAAACAAAAACAAAAACTGGCTGATAGATTTTTCCCCCAACAGAATCGTTCACAATTGGCCTTTAAGCTATGCTAACTTGCGTTGCAGTTACAACATACATAGAATAGGATATGAGATTCCACCCTAGAGATGTCTCCTCAAGAGGAAGAGGTTAAAAGGAACAAGATGCTAGAAGCCTCAAGGAGGGCTTTTCATTTACTGATCTTTCTTCAAAACCAGGAGAGTCAACTTATCAGGCCAAGGTCACCTCTGCACAGCCACCAGTCTTATCCTTATTACCCTCTACTGCAATTTCATACTGCCAAGCAACTGTCCTTACTGCTGCTCCCTTAGACTGAGAATAAGAGAAGGTTGTTCAGTTGTCCAACAGAGGAGTAAAAAAATTGATTCCAAAAACGCACTGATGTGGCAAAGCCAGCTTTCTGATCCTTCCTAAAAATGGGAGGGGTGATGGAGGGATGGAGAGGGGAGATACCAGGAGCCAGGACAAAATGAAGTTCCCTTGACTCTGCTCTGCATTTCTGGGCAAGCTCACCAAAACTGTCATTGTAGCATTTGCTCTGGAGCAACAGCTGCTCAGCTTGGGAGGGTCCTGAAATCCATGTGACATCATGGGAAGCAGGAGCACAGGTAAGATCTCAGCAACCTTGTGTGTGGAAGGGATCTGAGTTTTTATCCACACAACAATAATTATAAAATGTGCTGGCTTTCCCATGATGACTTACGTCCAGGAAGCCTCCCAGCATGCAAAGTTCTCACCTTTTTTATAGGTACAATATTGGTTATCTGCTGAATCAACAGAAGTTGTATAAATCTGTGGCCCTTTTTAACACAACCAAAAATATATTCTTACCAGTAAGTCTATTATGGCACTCGTTAGAGGATTTTCCGTTTACTTCACTCATTTGGAAAAAAGTCTTAAAATAAATACTCAGATTGCTGTTAAATATTAAAAATTAAGATATAAAAAGGAAAAACAAAAACATATTTTTTAAAAAAATGGTATTAAGTGATTGCAAGCCGGGCTGAAGTTGCTCAGACTTTTAAACTTTAGTTCCATATATGTAAAATCCACATTTAACAATTCCATTGTCATCATCTCAACATCAAAAAAGAGAGAGATTGCACAAATATTAGGACATACAGGCAACCAAAGTGAATGCAAGCAGCTCAAATGGGCAGCTGTTATAAAAGGCTACTACCCAGAAAAGCTATGCCTTGCAATATCATTTGAATCTTGTTCCCAGATCCTATGAAGCACTGTGTTACAATAACACTTCCCAAGATCAAATTTCATATGAATTAGTACTTTTAAAAATTGTTTCAAAAACATAAAACTTTCAAACTGCCATGAAAAAAGGCAATCCAATCAGATAAGGGTTAATACTTATAAAGGGAAATACATAGTCCATTTCTCTTTTCAGGCATGTCTCTACTGCAACTCTTCCTCCCCAGTGTGAAAATGCTTCAACTATGTGCTATACAATAATTCACACTGAGCCCATCTGTATCTTAATTCCAATGATTTCCCCAGTTGAATGCTGGTAGAGGTTATGAATCAAGCTTGTTGGTTTATCTATATATTAGAAGTATGACTGATTCCCCACAAGAGTACCAGACAGCTTACAGAGCACTGTTTCCAAGTTTCTCCCCCAAAAACTCTGCAGTTGGACTCAAAGATGATAACTGACCCAAAATCCCCCAGTGAATTTCCATGGGGTGGAGAGTCTCTCCAGTTTTAATTCAACGATTTAACAATTAAAACATTCTGGCTGTCCTTGCTGACAATACAAGATTGGGAGGCCAAAATTGGAGAATATGCTGTAATGGAAAAATTGACTATATATATTCACAGCAGAAGTATAACCAAATTCAAGTAGGAACGGCTCCCTTACTATACAACATATTACTCAACTAGGCAAGCTAAGACATTTAGAATCTGACTTTTGAAGAAAAAAGAGAAATAGAATTTTTAAAAACTGGAAAAAAATAGATATAAACAACTGTAAAATTTTAAAGCAAAGTATAAATATCTGAGGAGTAGTTAGTGATTGGGGGAAAATGAAAGGAAGGGGGAAAGTACACTATTGAAAGCTTCTTTTTACAATGTATTTTGTATTACAGTATATCTTCTGCATCTCTCTTTTTGATCTCTTACTTTTGTACATTGCTTATCCAATAATAGAATTAATCAAAGCTTTAACAAAAAAAATCCATCCCTCCCTCCCTCCCTCCCTCCCTCCCTAAGTTTATATGGATGTCCATCTTAAATACATAACTCTGGATGGGAAACAATCTATACAAAAACAGTATTAAAAAACCCTGTAACCACTTCAAATAATCCAATACAAAAAGAAAACCAAAGCACTATGTATAATTCCACAAAAACAGACAGCGTACAGTGGGCTCCCCTAACATCCTGCCTGGGGAAAAAGCTAGGTTTTAACAGCCTTCCGTAAGGCCAAGACAATTGGGGCCCTCCAAATCTCAGGAGGGAGGCTGTTCTATAGGGCAGGTGTTGTGACAGAGAAGGGATACTTCCTCAGTCCTGCATGATGGCACTGTTTAATAGAGAGGACCTGGAGCATGCCCACCCTCTTGGACCTGATGGAACGGGCAGAAATCATTCCTTCTGCCTACGTCTTAAGAGGACGTGAACTTGTTATCAATATGTCTGTAGCAAGCCTCAGAGATATCAAAATGTCATGTGTAACATGATGCCATTATGTAATTGTGCCTTAATGTCTGACACAAGTATTAAGTCTTGTCTGTTTATGACGTCATGACATATGACATCATTTGCCTCCCTTGCAGAAAACTTTGTGTACCTGTTTTCAGCCTTTTTTAGTAACTAGGTCATGCTGGATTTGCAGACGCCCTAAATTTCTACTTCTTAACTTTTACAGAAATAGCCACTTTTGTATTTCCATTGGTTAATGAGATAATGTAGTTCAGATATATTTGTAAAGATTGATAACTACAGATATCGGTATGCATTCTTTAAGGAACAGCATCATTTTATTCATTAACTGAATTTCTTGAATTCTTTCAAGTAGCCAGGAACAATGTTCCAGCAACAAGAAGTAATAGCAGTTGGCTGCATCTAACTGACTTTGGTTGATCTCAAAAAGAGCTAAGTAGGGTGAGATCTGGTTAGTCGTTGAATGGAAGACAACCAGGAGTTCACAGGGAGGTAGAATAAACTGAAGAGCTGGAAAAAGGCAGTGGCAAACCATTACTGTACTGTTGCCAAGAACAGTAGGACATGTCCATGTAGCCACTCAAAACTGAGCTTGCTTCAAGAAATATTTTACCTTTTTCGTAACTAAAATGACATACATTATCATACAAAATCATGATATCTTTAATTTTTTAATTGAACTCCTTCTAGACAGTAATTCCAATCATGACAGGGACTAGCTTTTCCTGTGTTTTTTTTTATTTGCATTCTTCCAGAATATGAGCTAGCTCAGAGACCTTTCATGTTCATTCAGCCTTGTATGAAGTTTCCTCACATGTTCTAGACTGAATTCCAGAGCATTTAACACAAAACATATGGATGTGACTCAGGAAACATCCACATGAAGGGTTTTGCTAGCTTGAGAGTCACTGCAGATCTCAGTCTTCCTATAACATCAGCAGTCTTGAGAACTAAGCTGATTCATTTCTAGCTCAGCTACAGTATATTTGAAAATCCTAGAGCTCCATTTTCCCCTTTAAGGGAACTTTTCTCTCAGTCCTCCTCCTAATTCTAGAGCTTCAGGTCATATAGGGGAAATACTAGCCTGAAAACTTTGATGCTGCTCCCCTTTCAGTAACTCAGAGGAAACGAAAAAGGGTAAAATGGGTGACAAAGTGGGTTTTGTCAATTTCCCCCTTTCTTCTGTATGAAGCCAGTTTGCAAGGACTGGACTACTGGAGTGTTTCTTCTTTCATGTGATTGGCCATAGCTGCAGGACCTGCAGCACCTAAGGGCACTGGTTTTGCTCCTTGTTTTACCATTTCTGAACGAAAATCATCATACTTCCAAGGGTCTAATAAAAGAAAACACTTCAAATGGTGTGACTGAATTCAACAAGTTGGAACCAGACTGCACGCGTTCAATGTCTGTTGGTACTGAAGGACAAGGGAAGGAATAGCAATTTTCTCCATTCCCCCTTCAGCCTCCAGTGTCATTTTCTCTTCTGCAGTGACCTTCCAGAATATTGTGAGAAGGGACCTGGAAAGCTGCAGAGGGGAACAGGAATTCAGAGAAAGAGTAACCCTGCCTCCCTTCTCCAGGAAAACACTGCCACAGCTTCCTATTCTCTCTCTCTCTCTCTCTCTCTCTCTCTCTCATTGTCTCTCTGTTTGCCTTTCCAAACAAGGATCCAAACCATATACAGATCTCAGCTTAATTATACAGCAAACCACAAAAAGAATAAAACAGATTCAATCTATAGAATCCAATTTAATTAGTTCCTAAATTGTACTGTAAATCCAGAACAAGACTCCTACATTTAAGAAACAGAGTACAAAGTTATTTTTTTAAGAACACATACCCCCTTTTTTCACTACAT